CCCTTATCAATGTTTCAGTCTGTTTCCTATACATATTTCAGTGAAGGTCTCTTTTTACAGATCGTCTACTTTCGCTTTAGATTGTTTCGTCATAAAAAGATCAAAGGGTTCGAAATAGATTTTTTGCTTTGCTTCCATTCTAATAATAGCTTCAATATGATTCATCAAAAGTCCTCAAACGATAAGAAATCTTATGAAGCAATTTCATATTTTAAGAACGTTTTCTCAAATTTACCAATGATTTAACAACTTCTTTAAAGGTTAGGAACCTTATCATATATAAAGGAGAGCTTTGATATATTCGTAAAAGTATTAGCAAATCTTTCGCAGAAAATTATAACACAAAATCTTCCAAATAGAACTCAAGGTTGACAATTTATCAAAACCTGCTGCCTGTCCCAAGCCCGAATTAAGTCCTACACACATGTTACCTTATATTTATGTCTTATCGTTAGACATGAATCTATACAATTTCTACATAAATTAAGACTAGCAATGAAGCTTACAAGAATAAAAGACGGAACAAGTGCAAAAAGGCTATACGAATAACCTAAAGACAGCTATACACTAAGCGACAAAAAAGGGTTTGAAATAAAGACACTCATAGATACCAAAAAGTTAACATGTTAAAAGGTATTTAAAATATACGTCCAAAAAGCTCAGAGACAAAAATGCGCAGGAATGAAGATAGTGATCCGTGATCAATACCTAATGTCCTTTGTTTTTTTGTGGATGATCAACTGATTATTACAAACACTGAAGAAGACATTGATTATTTGTTAAGGAAACTCAGAGAGGAATATGAGAAGTGGGGGATGAAAATGTTCGTTCACAAAACCGAATAATGCAACTAAAAAATTTTTAAAAATGTGAGGAATATAAACAACTCAGTAATAACATATCCCAGCATGGAACATTGGACATATACATAACGAATTGGATGCGACAGTGTCAAAGATATGTACGGCACTAAATTCTTTGTTATAATCGAATAAAATGATTCTTATAACAAAAATGATAATTTATAGGATAATTATAGACTGACACCCGGGGCAGAGTGCAGTTATCGAATAGAAACAAGAAAAGGATCGAAACAGTCGAAATGGCCTTTCTACAAGAGCGGTAAAATATCTCGCCGATAGCATATCCTTAATGAAAAAATCAGACGATGCGCAAATAGAATTTACAGTACAGTGGAAAGAATAGATACCAAACAACTAATATGGTACGTCCAGGAAAGCACTAAACTATATCCCGAAACAGAGAAATACCGATGAAGACCCCCATTTATGTTGAAAACTATGCTAGGAACAAATTACATCTCCAACACCTGGACTATGGTTCAAATCATCATGATGACTAAAGCTGGGTAAAAGTTTGAAGTTGTGCGTTTCTAAATTAGCCTTCTATATGTGCTCTCCATACTATTCGTTTAACTTTATGTTTGAGAAGTAGGTCGAATTACCAATCAGCTTATAGGGCGTCCTCCTACAACTCCACAACCATTCAACTCTTAAAATCTTACCTCATAGACAGACAATTAGCGCTTTGTATAGACACTGAGTTGCCTTTAATACACTCAAATGTACTTCTAAGTGGGGTGCATGGTTGGATCTTATATATTTAAACTAACTAGTTTTGGACAATCAAAACTTTGAGTGCTATCTTCGACGCGTTCTATTACAGTTCCAACGAAGTGATTTTGCACGACATCTCTCCGCACTTAGTTTAGGAAGCAATACATCACTGCTAGGTACATGCAAATATACGAGCCGAATTTCTTTTCGTCTCTCATCAAAGTATATAGAGCTGTCAACTTTAACTATATCATTCCAATCTTTAACGATTTATTACATGCGCCCAGTGTCCAACCACATCGGGAAATATTTCGACAACGTGGTCGACGGACTAAACTGGCCTCAACTTCCTCGTGTTACACGGCATTTCAGTCATCTAGGGCTGTTTCGTTGTGCTCTGGGTACAAGCACGGGTTGTAGGAGGTTCAACACACTTATTTAATGAGATGGATCACATCCAAACGCCGCATCGCTCAAGGCTGTGATCTCCCATCCTGTCTCAAGCTGGAGAGTACCTTGGTGAGAGCACTGAGATCATTAGCATACTTTCCTTGTATCGCCCGTGAACGAACCCTGACGAAATCAAATATCACATACATGTAGTGTATTCTGAATTACAGTGAGAGAGTGTTAAGGTAGCATAAAATACGGGCCAATCATATAAATATGTGCACCGCCAATAAAATTACGAAGCTACAATATGTCTGCTCTCTTTTGACTTGAGTACAAATAGTAGTAGTGTGGAAATAATTAAAAGACAGAAACACTTTACTCTTGATGTGATATCTTCACCATACTTGGCTATACAGCTTATTTATTCAAAGATCTATACTTACTTGCTGTCCCAATCATCAAAGTATTTGCAACTCTGTTTATGACATTAATTCTGCGGGTTTTTCAAATATTATTTACAACCTTCTCGACTTACACTAGTTTGCGTAAGCTTGGTCAAACAAACCAATCTTGTTTCGATTCCACATTAAAGGCAGTACAACCACATTAAGACTGTTATCATGGATCAATGGTTTTGCCGAAATATCTTGCAATGGAATGTGGAAAGAAAAAGAACGGGGTGGAAACGCGATTGAGGTGATGGCGAGACTAACAGGTTTTGTGCTATCATTAGATATACACAGCTTTTGAATATGTCAATCATCCAAAGTATAAAAATTTATTTGTTTTTGTATGTATGTATGCTAGAGTATCCCTACCATCACGGTCCAGGTCCAGGTTGGTTAAACCACAGGTGGTACAACCAAAGCACTTAGGCCCCAGCGGTCCCTTAATACATAGTTTATATCGGAAAATAACTGTTTCAGCGGAAGATGGCTTTCAATAAGAACTTCATATAACAAAGGCCTCATGTATTATCATATCAAAAAATCTGGAGACTTGATACCACTTTTAATTTGGTTTAATTAACTTTATTGAGATTACCGTTTTAATTGACGTTAGTTTGATGAATACAAGTTTATGGCAAAGAGTAACAGAATAGATGTTCAACATTCTTTTCAGCGTTTTGGTGGCCTCTCCTGCATTTTGAGCTTTTTCTTCAGGCTTATCCATTTTCCAACGTTTCGTATATTGATTTGTCGTCGTAGGTTTTCATTTCTAACTACGTCATGTAATGTTTTTCCATGAATGCTTCTTTTTTTGCATGTCGACTGTTCGCAGCTCTTGTTTATAAGTATCTTGTGTATGTTATTATAAGTCTTATTGTTGATTTAAAAATGAATGCTGGAAGTATTTGTTTCTCCACACAATGTCTCTTAATCAGCCTATGATTCGGGATGATTTTATTGTTTGTTCCCAGAATTCACTATATAGGTTTCCAAAACTCTCAAATATTTAAGTTGATGCCGGTTCTTTAGATGTACTAAACATTTGGTTTTGTCACTGTTAATAATCATATTCAGTTGTTTTCCTGATTTATTAAAAGACTGAAATAGTCTTTGCAAGTTGTCTTGACAGTCAGCAATGGAATAAAAATAAGTCTGCAATAAAATAAGTATTATCCATTTTATAACCTGCTGTTTTAGGTGGTTTTTCGACTATTTTAGCCATGATCATGTTGAATATGAATGGGCTCGTTGAGTCGTCTTGTCTTATTCTACTGAATATTTGTATTTTCTCACTTCTTCACCTTTATGATCATTTTGCAGTGGTTAATAATTACGTGATGTAAACACGTACCTGTCTATTTAAAGCAAATTAAATGAAGATTTAATGTACCATCAACGATATCTTAATGTTCATGAATACCACTAATGTATTTCTCTAAATTTTTAATGAATCATTTTTATTTTTGATATTTACATCATTCAAAAATTGTGAGATGAATTATCGTTTTTCTTAAATTCATCAAACTGTTCAAAAACTAAAATCATCGTATCACATCCATCATAGTTCAAAATTTTCAATCATATCCTTTAATAGTAGCCAATAACGATCCTACCCGATGGGATTTAACGCACACGGATTCAGTACGCAATATGTCCGCTCTTGATATGGAGATTTATTAGTGTAGTTTTATTAATGCCGCTCGGCATATTGCACGGGGGCACGTCTGTTAGCCCCGGTTTTGGGGCCCAGACGAGTTTAATAACACGTCCGCAGTACAAATAAACGCCCCCCGTGAAAACGTAAATCACCCTTGGGCCACATCGACCCTGATTTTTAATTCTTTTTTCATTTACTTTATATCTAAAAGTAGTCTCAAAGAAAACTTTTGTATTAAACTGTACAACGTTGTTCTGTGTCTGTTTTAGTAACCATTTTCGTAACAATCGGTTGTAACCATTAATAAGAGTCAGCTGTCGAGCGTTCAAACAATTTTTATTGTTGACCACCCCTTATAAAGGTACTACAAACGGTATATTTATACTTGCGCTCGGTTTAACGGCCTCAAGTTGCTGTTTCGAAGCTGAGGTTTTAAAGAACGGCTATTAAACGGAGGTTGTAACGTCTAATTTTAAAGTAGCAATCGGTAAAGTCCGCGTGACAAGAGGCCGTTAAAGGATTTTTAACCTTCCGGTATACATATAACACGCCGGGCTCGAATTCAAATTCAAATATGTTGATTTTGCAAAGTTTTCGATCGATACATTTTAATGTTTTGTAAAACCTTAGTTTTCACTTGATATGTTGAAATATGCCCATCACCAAAGCGAAAACGGGGAGGCTATTATTATGAAAATCCGGGTCATAAACGACGATTCTTGTTCAGGTTTCCGTAACAATCGAGCGAAGGCCGTGCGCTCAGGTTGTTTTCTTGCGCTTGCGGAGCGCGAACCAGACCGTTATCGTCAACATTACGTATTCCATTTCTTTCGAAAACATTCGCATAAAATTTTACGTTCGTCTCCGGCTCCTCCAGCTTTTAGAAACAATAAAAACCACCAGGAAAATTTAAATATGACCTGATTCTTAACCCAAGAAAAAAAAATTTATTTTCATAATTACATATCATTGTATGTAGGTACACTTATAACTTATAACTTTTGGTATTAATTTAATGTTGTTGTAACTTACTATTTTTCAGCTGAAATTAATATAATTGGTACTAAGTGAATTATTTCAGAAGATGAAGGGTAAAGTTTTGAAGATTCTTGAATAAGTTCTTCAATAACCTCATTGGCATAATCATCAACCAAATTGGTTGGAATATGATTATAACAACAGTCAAAGTTTTTTATGTAAATAGTAAAAACCTCTTTATTCATAAATCTAGCTTTTGCTTCAATTTGCTGAATGTTAATATTTTTATACCCAGCTTCCACAAGAAGAACGTTCAACCACTCATCAAGATTTATTTTTGTGAAAAAATGATTATCAAAAGCTGTAGTATCTTGATATTTAGAAAACTTTTCACGTTGATTTACCGTTTTAAATGTTTGTATAACTGAATTTTTAGTCACTGCAATTAAATAAATTTGTCCAGCTGGCTTTAACATTTTATAAAAGTTTTGAATCCAACTAAAAAAAAATAATTTTATTAAATTACTAAAATTCAAAAATAATAACGAGGTTAATAACTTACAAGGTTGTGTTAATCCAATGTATACAATACGTGGAATAAATTAAATCGAATTTATTTCTATATTTATCTGGAAAATGTTCCAACGAAAGATCCATTAGCTCAAATTCACAACTCTTTTGATCGTTGTATTTTTCTTTTGCTTTTAAAATCATGTATTCAGAAAAATCAACCCCGAATATTCGATAATTTTCTACATTCTTTTTTACAAATTCTTGAAAAAAAGTAACCGTTGCCGTTCCTTCACCACAGCCAGCATCCAAAATGTTCATAACTTCCGAAAGGTTCCTCTGTTTATTTGGCCAATTTACAAGATGTCCATATTTAGATAAAACTTCTTTTGCAGTTGAATAAAAAGGAGAATTATATTTCCCATATAAACTAGTATTGAACATGTTTCTGATATAATCTTACTATTACAGTTATGAATTGTGGAATTATTGCATTAGAACTGGTCGTTTCAACAACGATTCATACTTCATATTGCATTAATAAAACGTTGTAATTTGACCTCTGTTATCGTAGAGTGTTGATTGTATGTTAATCCAAATAAAACTCATTTTATTTACGTTAAAAAAATCATATTTCTTGATCATCAAGAAATGTGAACTTTGTATCGTTAGACCTACGTCGATCAATGATGCTTCAGTTAAGCTTATTGACATTATTTGTGTCTTCACTTTTAACAGTCACTGTTAATTGTTCAACTTATAACCATTCTGCATGTTGTTATTACAAAACTTATGAGATTCTTAATAGCTTAATAACATTTATGTGTCTCAAGAGATCATCATACATACGGTTGAATGTATACCATGTATGCTACCATGGGTCTTATCACAGACATGTAGATCCGTTTGAGTGTGTTTTGAGAGCACTTACAATTAATTAAACCGGCAGATCCAAGATTTTATCTGAGCGCAGAAAACAACAAGCTGTTGGAGAAGTGGAAACCGTCATCGTTATCATATTGATATGATGTTGTTAGACGAGTAGCCAATGTCGATTCAATTCATCATCGATTTGTTGTTAATGTGTGTGGTGTATTTGTGATACTTATTTCCCGTTTAAATTTTGATCCGTTTTACTTTTGCACCTAGTTCTAAGATTGTCAGGTCTCACTTCCGTTAATTTTTATTTATGGAGATGGATGAAAAGTAAAGTTTACAACGACAATATTAACAGGTTATAAAATTTTAATGCTATTATGAGAATAATCTTAAGAAAGCAACGAAACATTCTTAGCAAAACTATACACGTTTCAATTTATTCGAAAACTAAATTGAAGATGTGATAAAATGTGAAAAGTTTTAAATTAAAATTTTATTCAAAACTATAAAAACTTAACAATTAGTGTACATTATAATAATGTAGCGTTAATATTTTTCAGCTGAGATTAACATAATAGGTACTAGAAAAATTATTTCTGAAGGTGAAACTTTGAAGATTTTTTAATAAATTCTTCTACAACCTCATTGACATAGTCATCAATTAAACTTGTTAGAATATGGCTATAACAAATATTACCGTTTTTCCTCTCTATTCCTCTCTATTCGAAAATCTTGCTTTTGCTTCAGTTCATTCAATGTTAACATTTTTATGCCCCTCTTCCATAAGAACAGATTTCAACCAGTCTTTAAGATTATTTTTTATGAAAAAATGATTATCCCAACATTTCGTATCGTGATATTTACAAAACTTTTGACGTTGATTTACCATTAAAAATGCGTTTATAAAGATACTTTCAGTCATTACAGTTAAGAAAATTTGTTCAGTAGGTTTTAACATTTTATAAAAGTTTATAACCCAATTTAAAAACATAATCTATTAAATTTGTTTATTTAATCTCAACTAAAAGCACTTACAAAGTTATGCTAACCCAATGTAAACAATAAAAAAACCTAATTTTGTAGTTGAATAAAAAGGTAAACTAAACTTTTCGTACAAATTAGCATTGAACATGTTTAATATAAAGTTCTCTTAATATTTATCTCTTTAATTATATAATTTTTGCTTTAAAACTGATTATTTAAATAAAAATTTCGATATGTTTTATTTTAATTTATTGTGTTAATAACTTTTGATCACAAAGTATTGATATGATTAATATAAGACTTAAAATAGATTTGATGAAATTCCTTTATTTGTTTACATATTTGTTCAAGTATAATACGTTAATTACTTTTCAGCCGAAATTAGAATTACTGGCATTTTAAAAAAAATTGGAGAACATGTACCATAAAGATTTAAAGATTCTTTAATAAATTCTTCAATAACTTCATTAAGATAATCATCAATTAAATTTGTTGGTAAATGATTGTGACAAATCTTAAAGCTTTTAATGAAACATTTAAGTAATTCCTTATTCAAAAATTTTAATTTCTTATCATTATGCTTAATGATAATATTTGTATAACCTGCATCCTTCAAAAGAGGTTTTAACCATTCTTCGAGATTTATTTTTGTGTAAAAATGATTATCCCAATATGCAGGTTCTTGATATTGGCAAAATTTTTCTCGCTTATTTACGGCTAAGAAACTGTTTATCACAATATTCTCAGTAATCGCAATTAAGAAAATTTGTCCAGATGGTTTCAGCATTTTATAAAAATTTTTGATCCAACTTAAAATAAGAATTATTTATTACATTATTGTAACACTTAATAAAATGTACTTACTGCGTCGTTTTAACCCATTGTAAGCAATGCATAGAATAAATTAAATCAAATTTTTCTGTTAACTTAACCGGAAAAGTTTTTAGTGAAAGATCCATTAATCCAAACTCACAATTCTTTTCATCTTTGTATTTTTTATTTGCGCTTAAAATCATTTCTTTTGATACATCAACTCCAAATATTTGATAATTTTCCACATTTTCTGTTACAAGTTCTTTGAAAACGTGAACTGTTGATGTTCCATCGCCACAACCAGCATCTAATATTTTCATAACGTCCGATTGATTCTCTTGTTTATTTGGCCAATTTATAAGAAGCCCATAATCAGACAAAATCTGTTTTGTAGCTGTATGAACAGGTGAAAAATATTGTTCATATATGTGAGCATCAAACATTTTTTTGTTGTTATTATATTCTCGTAACTCTTACTACTAAAACTCAATTGATGTTGCACATATCTTGTATTATAAACATGCTTCGTGTCACTTTTAATCAGCTTATTATTTTTTGACCTAAAAAAAAATCGTTATGCATGACCCATTCTGCCCATCCATTACGATATTTTCGTTATCGTATTTCAAAATATTTATACAGGGTGTTTCAGATTTTTGTAGCAGGACTTTAACAGTCGATAGATCTTTTAAATTTAACATAAAAACTTCATATAAACATAGGTCGACAAACGCTTTGTTTTGGAGATACAGAGTGTTCAAATTAAATTTTTAAATTGATTTTTATTTAATATTACACGTATATTTCAACCTATTCTTTTCAAATTTGGTATACGGAAGTTTTTTGGCATGAGAAAGAGATAATAAAAGATAATCCGCTTTTTATTATTCGATACAGACCAATTTTTTTAGAGGATTGTTAAAGATAGGTATAATAATGTTTGCCATTGAAACAAAGTAGGTAAAGTCACTAATGTTTTAGTTTATTTTATCAAGTGTCAAACCACCAGTAGTTGTTGATCAGTGTTAAATTTAATTTTCTGGTTTATTAACGTGCTAAATTCATTACTCTTTTTCCTAATCGTGTTAAATTGCTTTTTTTTTATTTTTTAATTTTTTGTTTGCTGCATAAAAACTTTATAAAATGCCGTTTATTTTTTCTAACCAAGAGTTAGCGGATATTCACTTTGAAAATGGGTTTGCAAACGGAAATTCAGCAAAAGTAGCCTTAGAGTATAGGAGAAGATATCCGCATCCTTCTGAGTTTGTGTAAGTGTATAGACAAATAGTTGAACAAGGGCTAAATAATGACGGGTAGATCATAATAATGACAATGGTAGACTGCAAAGAATCTTTAGAAGAAGAATTTTGCGTGAATTCGACAGAGACGTGAATTAAAAGAGTTTCGAATGTGTCCTCCAAATCCTATGATTTGGAATTATTAGATCTAGAACTATCTCAAGCAACAGCAATTGTAACTGAAGAGCTGCACACATCTAATAAGTGGTTACTCATACTTAAATGATACTAATCCTGCATCGTTTATTATGTCACAATATGTAATTTTAAAAAATATTATAATATTATATCTAAACATATAAAGACGTGCATGTAATATTTTGCTTTCGACAACTATATTTCTTTGATTATCGTTTTGGTACCGTAGATCTCGAAGAAATAGAAATATCTGCTGGCATAGTTATTATTGAAATTAAATTGTGTGAAAATTCACTGTCCTATATAACCCATTTATTACGTTTTTGTCCGTACCTAAACAATAAATTTTAGACTAATTAAATAAAAAAATTAATAATAAAAATTACTAGACTTGTGTGATTTGAAAGTAATAAATGGTTTTAAGCTATCGTAGTAATTTAAGAGCAAAATAGAACCTCCTCAAGCAGATGTGGTAGCATCTCAAGCAGAAGATATCGATCTAATAACAAACGAGGTGGTTAAATAATGCGAAGACGCACTGATAGATGAAATACACACCCTCTTTAACATAATTATCAAAAGTTAATGCAAGTACACCATACTAACACAAAACTTTAAGATAATTGAGAAAACAAACCCAAGCAATAATATGGGACTTAGCCTTTTGAGAATTGATGTCCAGAATGTTATCAGAAGAAATAACAACTCGGATCTAGGAATAAGGAAGGATTCAGAAAAAACAAGTCAACGTTATTCGACAAATAACTGAGAAGACCATAACATTCAACAAGTCCCTTATATGTTTTGTCGATCTTAAATAGGCTTTTGATAGAGTGAGATTATGCGATACATACATGCGAATATTGTGGCACTTGTCAGAGAAATGAATACGAAATGAGGCTTTTTCCAGAGGAGAGTCCACGAAAGGTATTCTAATTGCAAATTAGGTTAAGCAGTGAGATAGCCTCAGCCCAATCTATTCAATTTTGTGATGGACAAAATAATTGAAGAAACAATGCGTGGTGGATCATATGCTACGCAAACGATGCGGTTTCAATCTCTGAAAACGAAGATAGCTAAGGTAGTAAACTAGTGAACTATAATATGGAAATCTTAGTACAGAAAGTCCCCAAACATTGCCATAAAACCACCAAGAAGATACCATAGATCATGCGGTTGAAATATCTTCTAATAAACATCATTATCATTATACACCTGAAAGAAGAAGTCAAAACACAAAGCTCAAGAGCAGCGGTAGTATCAGGATACCTCCGAAATGTAATATAGAATTACTTACAAATAAGAAGTAAAGTGAGGATCTATGAATCGATTGATGACATATGCCATTAAATCAAGGGCACAAAACAACACACCAAAGCCTTGTCATAACCACAGAGATGAAAAGTCTTTGAGCAATTTCTGGTTACACACAATGGAAGAGAAAACACCAGGGAAAATGTGGGGCGCTTAACATAATCCGTAGTAGGACATATGGAGACGCAGGTCGGGAGAATGCTAGAACACAAATTGCCGATAGTTTCTAGGGAAGGAAACGAGGAAACAGGCTTACTGGACGTCCCCCAAAGTGATGGTACAAAAGCTGGAGTTCAGTATCCCAGTCGAAACTTTGAATTAAAGACAAGGTGAAGCCCTCCCATATTATTTACAGTATTGGTAATTCTACGCCTGAGTGTGTTATAACGATTAGGTCCTAGAAGAATATGTCATATGTTCTTGAAGAATCATATGGAATAGGATTTTTTTATGTACCATTACATATTCTGACAAAATCAACTGAAACGTCTATTATGACGTTTTCAATTGTCCCTTTATGATGGGATTTTAGACTCACATACGAGACGTTTACAATGTTTTGAAAAGTAAATTTCTGTCTAGTTTAGTTAACATAGAACATTTTTGTTATGTAAACGATAATACAAATGATTGATAAAATTGTCGAAATCGTCCGTTTAAAATTGTTGGTGCCAAAGATGTCATTATTTCCGCAAGTTTTGGCACAAGAGTGAACGAGATTTAGAGAACTGTACAAATAAGTCAGTTTAACGACTATATAGATGTATATTTTCCTGCCATGATAAAAATGTGATATTTTCAGCAAAATCCAAAATGAGCCAATAAATTAATTTGTGGCATCTTCGTTACATTATTTGCTTTTAATATTTATTCAGAACTTTTAGAAGTGTATATATTCGAAATAACTAGCACCGCAAAATTGATAAATAGAGCACGGTAATGTCTGCAGATAACTTTCAATGGTTGCAAAGTACGTCTTGCATAAAACTAACGTTTTACTTCATTGTTAAATTAAGTAGTTATTGTTTGATTTGGTGGAGATAAAGTGTTGAACAAAATACCTTAAACTAAATTAAATATTTCTTAGATAAGCCATTGTAGAGAATTAATTTTGGATGGAAACAATTTGTTTGCCACAGTATGGCCAAATGTAATACTTGTAATAGTGATATATTTATCCTTCACTGCCGATCAATATGCATGGTGGTTTCTTATTTACTTAATAAATGCAACTTCCAGATAACAACGACTTACCTTTTCAAAAATTGTTCACAACATTTAACCCATCAGTTACTTTGAATTTCATCTATAGATATGCCTTTCAAGAGTACCACGAAGTGAATCGAGTTCAATAAGCAATCATATTTGTGTAAAATGTAGAACAAACAGGGGCAACAAAGTTTCTTCTTCGTCTTGAGATATAGATCATGGAATCATGGAGTTATGCACCGTAAGATTTCATATTTGAAAATAGTATACAGGCTTGAGAAAAAGCATTGCAGAACAAACAAATGATAGCCTTTGTCAAAGAGAAATAGAAGACATAGAATCGCATGTTTCGAATTTAATCGTCACGATGATCCTTATTAATTAAAGTAGCACAAGGCCGTGCCTTGTGCTACTTCATAATCTTCCCAATTTCAAAGTATTTTTATATTTTTGTATATTGTTATTTATTAATTATGATAATATTATCATAACATCATAACAAAGACATGAAGTCTTTGAAAATAAAACTGTTATTTTTGCACATCACGTTTATTATTTATTTTGACATTGACCGAGATTTAGATTCGGGCGTTTCATAGTCAAGCGTAATAGGGACCCAAAAGATATCAAAAATCAGAGCATCTGACCCTATTAAGCTGGAAGTCGTGCAAGCAATGAACCAGTTTTTTACTGGAAAAACATTCAGATTGTTACTATTTTGACTAACAAGGGAAGTGTCGGGACTGTCCCTCACCGATTTTGCTGCAATTTGGTACCGCGATAGTATGGCCAAAAATAAGGTTTACGTATTTTTTTATACGTGCTAATAAAGCCCCTGGGGCGAGTTATGAGGGTTAGAAATCGGGGCGAAAGATATAGGTATATTCGCTTATAGCCTGAAGACGAAAATAGCTATCGAAATGTGGTAAATGTAAACTGATAGTCATTTTCAAAGAGCTTTCCATTGATATATCACACATATATCTGAGGGCTTCAGGGGGTAAACTATCCCTAGTTTTTTGGAATATTTTAAAAACTACCGTGTCGATTTTGGCGATATTAAGTATCCTTCTTAAGTAATCTACATAAACATAATGCAAAAAATAGTATTTTCAAGACGTATAGGTCAGTCAAAATCTCGTGGTCGAAATTTTGCACTGTTATAAAACCACTTTATGTATTTCCTGTACAAAATCTTTTAAAATGTCAAAAGCTGAAAAATCATTTAATATTAAAAACATTAACTATTCATTTGAGTCTACAACAATACAAAGCTTTCGAGGCATATCCTCGTTAGTAGCTTTAGTTGCTCAGTTAATAATAAATAAATTGAATACAATAATAAACCAGGTGAAAAATAAAATAATATAAAATAATGGAAAAACCAGGTTGAAAGCCTGTTAAAAAAAGAATATTTTTGTACATCAAACCATCAATTGATTATTATTAAAGGTAACGTTCAAAATTTACCCCCCTTACATTAGTAGATGTTGGGCGCAGCATTTCAGTTCATAAGAATATGTTAAAGTAAAATAATTCGTCTCATTTTGTGATGTAGCACAAAATAAAGCAGACTAACATTACAGTTATAAAAATTTTGAATACAACTTGAAATAAAAATCTTTATTAATTATAATATTTAAAAGTATCCACTTACTGTGTTGTTTTAACCCTATGCCAACAATACATGGAATAAAATAAATCGAATTGTTCCATAAATTTACCGGGAAAAGTCTCCAAGGAGAGATCCAAGAACGAAACGTTATTAAATTGTAAATTTTATTATTTCATATTTCTAATATTTCTCAGCAGAAATTAAAATTATTGGTATACTAAAAATAATTTTAGAAGATGAACCATAAAGTTCTAATAATGCTTTAATAAATTCTTCAATAACTTCATTAAGATAATCCTCAATTAAATTTGTTGGTAAATGATCATTATCGATGTTAAAAATATTAATAAAAGAAGTAAATAACTCTTTATTAAAAAATTTTGCTAATGTTTCATCCTGTTTAATGGTAATATTTTTATACCATTCTTTCTTATGAAGAGATTGTAACGAATCATCAAGATTTTTGTTTGTAAAAAAATAGTTATCCTAATAAGTAGCTTCTTGATAAATTGGTAACATTTTTCGCGCTTATTTACCATTTGGAAAGTGTTTACAAGAAAATTTTCTGTTATTACAGTTACAAAAATTTGTCCATTTGGCTTCAACATTTTATAAAAATTTTGAATCCAACTTAAAATAAAAATCTTTATTAATTATAACATCGATATAACGATTATAATATCGTGGATATTATAGTATCCACTTACTTTGTTGTTTTAACCCAATGCAAACAATACATGGAATAAATTAAATCGAATTGTTCCATAAATTTACCCGGAAACGTCTCCAAGGATAGATCCATTAACTCAAATTCACAATTTTTTTGATTGTTATATTTTTCTTTTGCGTTTAAAATCATTTAAGTCGAAAAATCAACTCCGGTTATTGGATAATTTTTTACTTTTTTCTTTACAAGTTCTTGAAAAATATTAACTGTTGATGTTCCATCTCCACATCCAGCATCTAAAATTTTCATAACTTCGGAACGATTCATCTCTACGTTCGGCCAATTTAAAAGGTATCCATAGTTTGATAGAACCTCTTTTGCAGTTTCATAAACAGGTCTATGAAATTTTTCGTACAAACAGGCTTTGTACATTTTTATTATATTAACTCTAAAATTTAGATATTGGGACTGACTGGTTTTATGACCTTACTTCACTTTTTACATTTCCTTATCTCATAATAGTACGTTTAAAAATAGAATGTTGTGACGTGATTAATTATGGGAATACTTATCTACAATTTGCTATTAATATTCATTATTTTTCAGCGAAAACTAAAATTCTTGGTATTCTCGCAATTATTTCAGATGAAGAACCGTAAAGTTTTGTAGATTGATTAACAAACTCTTCAACAACTTCATTGATGTAAACATCAACTAAATTTGTTGGTAAATTACTATGGCTGGTTGTAAAGCTTCTAATAAAAGCAGAAAAAAAATCTTTATTTAAAAATTTTGCTGTGGTTTCATTATGTTGTATAGTAATGTTTTTAAACCCTGCGTTCTTGAGAAGAGATTTTAACCATTCATCGATATTCGCTTTCGTGAAAAAAGGGGTTTTCCAGTTTGTAGTGTTTTGATATTTTTGGAATTCTTCGCGTTGGTTTACCATTAAAAATTTCCCCATAAACCAGTCTGTAACTGTTGTAGCGAAGAAAATTTGTCCACTTGGTTTCAACATTTCATAAAAGTTTTTAATCCAACTTAAAAATAAAATAAATTTATGAAATTATTAGAAAAAAAATGAAACTTACTTGGTTGTTGCAACGAAATTCAAACAATACATTGAATAAATTAAATCAAAATGTTCAATATATTTATCTGGAAAAGTATCTAGTGAAAGATCCATTTGTTCAAATTCACAATTGTTTTCGCAATGGTATTTTTCTTTTGCTGTTGAAATCATTTCTTCGGAAAAATCAACTCCGACTATTTGGTAATTTTCAACATTTTTGGTAACAAATTCTTGGAAAATTTTCACTGTTGATGTTCCTTCTCCACAACCAGCATCTAAAATTTTCATAACTTGAGTGCTTGTCTGTTTTTTTGGCCATTTAATAAGATGTCCATAATCGGATAATATCTCTCTCGCAGTTACATAAAAAGGTAACTGAAACTTTTCGTATAATTTAGCATCAAACATGTTTTCAGACTGATTGTTTTTTGATGACACCAATGTTTTATATCACCATTATTAATAAAATTCAAATTTTTTTAACTAAAAATAATTGCATCTTTAACCTCTGTTATCTCAATCTTATGATTTGATATTAGAATGTCTTTAATAAATCCTATATATATCTAATTCCTTGTTACCAGTTTTATTCTTCAACTACAATTATATCAAAATTATTTTAAATAATAATCATGAAGTTTTAAAAATTCTTCAATAAACCTCTACACAATTATTCTAATAATTTTAATATGAAAACATTCTATTTGTTGTGCTCTTTTTGTAGCAGTTTTTACTTCTTACTTTTGAGGTTTGTAACCCATATTGTGGTGAAAATAGTGCTTCAATTTACTTGGAAGCATACACTTCGGTGTCAAACAAGTCGTGAGAAAATTATCACAGTTTATTGTGTATCAGTCTCTGTAGCAGACAAAATTCCGTCAAACTTTGACATCGTTTTGACTAATTTTGGTTTTTACTATATCTTAGTGAAGATATAGTGGTCAACTATAAAGTCGTATAAGTCCATATATGGAGTTCTACCATTTTCAAAGAGTTTTTGGGTTCCAAAAAGACGTGAGTTAAAGAAATTATTCACTGATTTCTTTATTGAGGAGTGATTGTAATGCTAATGTTAACATTTTAACACACAAAATTTGCCATCCAGTTATTCCTCGTAAACATAAGATTATGTAACTGCATCTCGGATTCTCGTACTCGGGGACAGTTTTTAAAATAATTGGTGTTGATTCTTAATAATTTTGTGCTGATTGGTGGCTTTAACATTTTTGAATAATATTAACTGTCCGAATCTACTTTGCTATTAATTGTAACAAAATTAATAAAAATTGAAGAAATAATATTAACTCGCCTGAAAAATTTTTCTACCGTGTCTAATATTTATATTTTTTCTTAGCTAGGAGTTGTAGTAGAATAATTTTCTGCCAGATATTCTCTGTGCTCAAAATGCAATATAAATTTCTTATCAGACACCGCAGTATTTGTAAGCTTGATTTGATTAGATTTGAATTCTGTGTAATTCATGTCACTATCTCCTGATTTATCGCTATGATTTCTCGAGTAATGTTGTTTTTTAAAGCTCATAGCTTTTAAGGTCCATTTATAAAAACCTTAGCCATCAAATATCCCCATAAGAAGAAATCAGGGCTGGTAGGGACGTTGTTGGTCAATTAAAATCACCAGGTAGTTATAGAAGTCGTGCAGGAAACATGGTTTTTAGAGCAGCCATGCAAATTCGTGTGGTACTCTATCGTTATTTTCTTCGAAAAAGTATGAGCTTATGATTCCAAGTGCAGCCGCACCGCACCACATAATAACTTTTGCGTAATACAAAAGTAATGTTTAATTGCTTGACGCTTTGCTAAATGTGTTGGATTCCTTGCTACCTGGTGATTGACAGCTTCATGCACTCATTCTACGTTCTATAGTGTATGCACACTTTTTACAGAGCTGACGTATTCATTTCGTACCACTTCCGTGATAACAAAAATTTGCAAATTACAACTAAATTATGTTGTGTAGAGGAGTGCTACCTGGCATAGAAAAGTTATATTTACGCCTAGATCATGTTTGTACTTCAACAACAGGCTCCGATCAGTAATACGTCTTAACACAAAAGCTGCGATAATTTACTGATGTATCCATGGCTACTGAACTGCATTGCATGTACCTATCGTACTGATTCACATAATGTCAATATGCGCAGAAAAGATGCACTTACGGTGCCACGTCACACCGGCATCACAGTTTTTTGGAACACCCTTCCTCGTCCATTAAAAGTGTTAAACGTGTAAAATTTTAAAATTAAATATGGACGGTATCTATGTGAGCGACAGACGAGGTCGAATTAGTTTTTCTTATTATACTTAGTTATATGTGTAATTTTTTGCGCTGTTTCGAATTATTTGTTGTAGTACATTGGAACCAGGCCTCACTACTAAGGTGTTGCCTGACCTAGCTACCTAATTAGCCTTCTTATATTTCTTATATTATTTTCTATTTATTATTATATATCGATTATCCTGCCTTTATAAAACACAGGAAAATTGTAAATAGTTCACCACATTTTCTAAGATAGAAAATTTTTTTTAGAAAGTTTATGTTGTGAAAAACTCCAACTCACCTCAACGTTTGAAACTTTAGCTAACCTCGAAGCAGCAAGACCCAACTCGATTTACTTTCCAATAACACAGAGTTTAACTGAATGTACTGAGTCAATCCTTGATCATAAAATAATCATAAGATGTAAAATCAAAAATATCCATTTTACCAATGTTTGTATCAGATTTAAGGCATCTTTAGAGACTTTGTCTAAATATACAACAAAGTTACATTCAAATTTTGAAAAGCATTATAGAGGACTAAGGCCCACTTTTACCATACTCCTGTTGCCATGGTTACAACTCTTTTAAGCGTTCTCATTGGCTAAGAGTTCGATTTATCTATCAGATAAATGTATCAAGAAATGGTAAAAGTGAGCCTTAATAAAACATCTTAAAAGTATTTAATTCTTAAATACAACTTAAAACTTTTGTATACAGAACATTACATGTTAAAATGATTGAACTACGTCCTATTAAATTTGTAAGTGAAGTTTTCATTTGAAAATAAAGAATCACCTGTATCAATTTAAACAGTTGCGGAAGACTGTTATACAGTATTAAACAGTGTGGTCAATAACGTACGGAATTTGGGTTTGACTTTCTTCAGACTTAATTTAATATACAGAGTGGAACAAAATTTGAAAACGCCTAATTAACTCCTAAATGGGTAACCAGAGTTGGGAAAAAAGTGCCGTAAGGCGACGGTGCAATAAACTATACAACGTTTTGTGGAATCTAGAAGCATAAAAGGAGGACGTCGAAGAAGTCGATCAAATACTACGATGAATAACACCAAACTTTAGATGTTGAATCAGAGCTTTATTGAAAATCCAAAGGCGTCCTCTTATAGAATTATACACGTACTTACATTTCACCATACAACATTCAGATAGTGTTAGAAATCAGAAAGACCACAAAGTTAAAATATGTATAGTTGAGTATAGATTACTCGCACTGAGAAACCTCTTTGAATCAATTTAAATCAGTTATGATTTTAACAAGATGGAGCTCATTTTAGCATAAATATTGCCCTCATATAGGTTTTTAGTTATCTATATGAGATATTTCCTGGACAATAATCCCATAATATTCTTTATGATTCTTATATAAAATCAATTTTTATGGAATTTGGAATTTATTCACTTTACTTATACCAGAAGATACATTTCCGCATATCCATAACATTAACGTTTGACATTAACATGTGCTAACGATACCTAAACATCATCTACAATTAATTGGAGGACTATGAGGTCTCTCGGAGTAATTGATTCTCCGTCTGTCCAGATGGATCTTGATTGTGAGTAGATGGCAAACTTTTTTGCAGAGCCTCCCCTGATCATCGATGACGTAACTAAGGCGGCTACAATTAATGAAATTCTTACTTCTCTTAAATCTTGCTCCTTCTCTCTTACGCTTGTGACCGCGATCGAAGTAGGTGATGCTTTGACTTATTCGAAGTCCCCTTGCGTGGGTTCTGATGGTATCGGTCTCAACCTTCTTCTTCCTATCCTGGATATAGTGCTTCCTCCCTTAACTCATATCTTTAACTTTTCTTTTGAGCGGTCTTTATTTCCCTCTGTCTGGAAGGTTGCTCATGTCGTTCCCATACCCAAATGCAAGTCCTCTTCATGTAACACTGATTTCCGTCCGATTTCAATTTTATCCGTACTATCAAAAGCTCTTGAACGCTTAGTTTATTTACAAGTCCAAGGATTTCTAGAGAGGTTTAATTTACACAATGAGTTGCAATCGGGTTTTCGCAGTGGGCATAGTACAACTACTGCCCTCATTAAAGTTACTGATGATATTAGGTATGCCTGCGACAACAGATGTGTTACTGTGCTGGTACTTCTCGATTTCAGCAAGGCTTTTGATTCTGTCGACCACAGCCTTCTTTTAGCGTCTCTTTCTGCCTACGGATTCACTCCCCTCTGTGTTTCTTGGTTTCAATCCTACCTTTCCCATCGCTCCTTGTGCGTACGCGCTAACTCTTCAATTTCTTCTGCTTGTGCAATCAAATGTGGTATTCCTCAGGGCAGTGTATTGGGTCCGTTACTTTTTTCTTTGTTCGTTAATAGTGTTACTAATTATATCTCGTGTAATTATCATTTGTATGCCGACGACCTGCAGATATATACTACTACTACTGTTGCTGAATTTCCGGCAGCTATTGTGCGACTTAATAACGATCTATCTAACGTCTTGAACTGGTCTCGGAGATACGGACTTAAGTTGAACTCAGTTAAAACGCAAGCTATTGTGTTTGGAACTCGTCAATTACTTGGTAAGATTAATCCATCTGCCTGCAGTGATCTGATGCTGGATGGTAATGTCATACGGTTTTCTAACACAGTTACAAATCTTGGAGTTCTTATGGATTCTGCACTGTCTTGGAAACCGCAAATTCAACATGTTTGCAGAAAAGTCTATGCTTGCTTCCACTCTTTAAAAAGACTTCGCTGCTCTCTTCCTCCTGTGGTGCGTCGTATTCTTTGTTACTCTCTTATATTTCCTCACTTCGACTATGCGGACGCGGTTTATCCCGATCTTTCGGTGACTCTTCTGAGTAAATTGCAGCGGCTACAAAATAATTGTATCCGGTTCATATTTGACCTAAATAGATTTGAGCATGTAACGCCGTATCGCAATTACATTCAGATGTTAACCTGTGAGAGACGTAGATCCTTTCGTTTATTAACCATTTTATTTAAAATCCTTCATAACTGAACCTATCTGAACTTATCAGATAGGTTCCAGCAATTATCAACTCATGAGCTTGCTACTCGTTCACGTTCTGATACTATTCTTACATTTCCCGTCCATAGCACTGAAATTTATCATAGATCATT